TGGCACTCAAATAGACCCAAACTAAGGACATGTAGACTCTACTGCTGCAAAAGACTACTTTGTTTCCTTTCCAATTAGTCTTTAAAAATCTAAACAAAGTCTAAAATAAAATAATAGGGACATTTCAATGAAGGCAGGGTAAGGAGATGTCAGTTTATCAAAACATCACGAGAAGGCAATCTCACAAAGCAACTGTCCATCTGCAACCAGCTTGACTTTGTTTGGCAGTATTAGCATAGCAGAAGTCTCTGGCTCTTTCTAATCGGTTATTTGGCAGCATTTCGGGTCATCACAAGAAAAACAAACTGCAATTGGAGAGAAATATGTGAACCCCAGAGGACAGTTTGGTAAACTTTTAAGCAAGTATTGAAAGCAAAAAATATATAATCTCAACATTAATGTTAACTTTGTGGACATGAGGACAAAATTAGCTTTCAAATTAAATATTGATGCTAAACTTAAGAGCTATTCTACTAGTTGTTCTTTCTTTGTTATGAATCGAGACTGCACTAGTCGTGAACAATCATAGGCTAAAATATTATCTGGAACCTAAATGTGTCCTAAATGGTGCAATATGGTTACAGCGCCGCTTGTGACTGCAGTAGTTAAACACAATTAATAAAATCCATCTGCATGGACATATTTAAAGTTTTACTTAAAATAAATTCTTATCTATTTGGATCACTTAAATAAAAAACAAAAGGATTTCATTTTAGCCGTTTTATTGATCAATGGATATCATGGGGTTCTATGGGGGCATTCTCTATTTCTTGTTTCATATCTCATCCATTAAGCTGCACAGGTGAGCTTTCAAACACTTGTTGCTGAGATAACTGCACAAAGCTAGAGCTTAATCTTAGCTCTAATGTCATCTTATTAATAATCTACTGTTGGTCATTATTTTATCTGTGATGTCATGGAAACATAAGTGGGTGTGTCGGCAGCTCAGCTGATAGTCTGCTGAGCGTCAAACAATAAAAACTGGCCGAGTCGTCCTACTTCAAACTATTTTCTTTTCTCCATTAATAATATAAACAAACTAGAAAATAACTCGTAAAGCGCAGGCCTCTGCCAAACAGCAAATTTCCCCCCATATTGTGACTTACACCTTGAGCTAAGACTTGAATGTAATCTGGGTCAATACCAAATTTCAATTAATTGTTCCTTGGTATGAGGGACATCTTTGCTAACAATTTCTTTTAAAACCCTTGCATAAGTTTATAAATAAGGCAGAGCGTGTGTCTGCAGGCTCTGGTGTTTGTTCTGCTCTCACCTTCTTCATTCACTGTGCTTTCTTGTTTAATCAGCTGTTTGAGACTTTGAGCGAGGCATGGCTCACTTTTTATGTGTTTTTTGTCTTCAGTATAATAGTTCTGGACTTTTTGAGTACGATACTGAAGCTGTCAATGGTCACTGCTGCCACTATCTGATCTTTTTTTTTTTATTCCTGCATCCGAATAATGATGTGGATCATCGCCAAAACATAGTGGATTGTTCCATGGGCTAAGGTGCACCATTGATATAAATTTAACTAAAATCTGTTTATAACTTTTCAAGTTATCCTGTACCCAGACGGACAGAAAAACAAACAAAAAGATGCACCAACTCGACTGAAAACATAACCTGCGTGGTGGAGGAAAAAAAAAATAGATTTTCGCTTTGCTTAAAATGCAGTCAAAATTGTCTATTTTATAAGTCTAATGAACCATAAACAGTGCATTGACTCATTCTATGGACTAAATGTATCATTAAATTGCCAGTTTCTTGCTCTAGGTGGTCAGCATTTTCAGAACCAAGATAATTATAACCTAGGGCATAGGTAAAATAGTCTCTCAGTCTGTGCGAGTGTCCTGCACAATCATAGGGAAGACCCTAACTAGACATATGTCCAGAAGAAAGTCAATAAAACCAGCTACATGTAAGGTAAGCCACACAAGATCATGGCTAAAGAACTCTGAGTTTTAAATAGAGCTGCATCCACGCATATTCCTATACCCCCTTCCCACTGGCCGAAAAACCAGTTTAAAACCTGGAACAATCAGCTTTTAGTAGAAAAGGCGCACTGCCCCTTGTCTAACGACTTGGCAACTGACAAATGTTAAAATCCCCTCGGCCTCCAATCGATAGTCTGTGGAAAAACCACACCCAAGTTCACCCGCTAATTCACGTGATACCATTGAGTGCAACATGCAGACGTTAACACACAGCGCCAGTTGTGTCTGATCAAACAAGACCAAACAATCCTGTTTACATTCTATAAACATGGTGCAGCGCTGGGAAGAGGAACTCAGACAGATACAAGAGCAATGGCGATTGTTAGCAGGTTCACCCATGTTGGAAAAACCAGAGTTTACCTTCAGTAGGAAACAGACTATAGATGGTTGAATGAAAGGAAAAAATGTGGTAGGACAATGCGAAGTAGCAACAGGGATGAAGGCATAAAAATTGTCAAGGAAAGCCCATTCAAGAATTTAGAGAAGTCTCACAAGGTGTGAACTGAGGCTGAAGTTGGTGCACAGCAAATTCCTACATATGCAGATGGAAATATTGTTACAATTTTTAAATCCTTTTTTCGGTTACATATTTTGCCGATTAAAATTCATTTAAAATTTGCAATAGGTTTTTTGTCTATATTCTGAATGTTTTTTACCAACAAGTATCTTTCATCATTAATAGATAAATTGATTACTAAAACCACTGATTGAATACTGCCCTAGATCAAATACATCTTTTGTTGTTATTGTTTAATATCTTTCCCTATGTTGAATCTTAAGGAATTAAATGGTGAATTCAGATTGGTGAAGATGGTGGAAAAACAGCTCCTTACTCAAGTATTTAGAAATTAAAAGGGAAATAACTCGAAGGAGAGAAGCTGTAAAATAATTATCCCCTTAGTTGCTCTCACACTTGAAAAATGGTTGGAGGCAATTATTTGTGCCTGTGAAATCTGACCCGTGCATTTTTCTTTCAAGGGTCAGAAAAACAAAAGCTTGACAGATTCAAGAGTTTAAGGCAACGGCCCAGTCATTAAAAATAAAACAGCTTCTCTTTGGTTGAAACGCCTGGAGCACAGAGAGATTAGTAACTGGGACAAATACCAGAGAAGCAGAAATAAATTCTGGGTCAGAATGTTTTAAAGGGATAAATAGATTAGATCTAACTAGTGCTGCTTTACATCACTATGAACCTTATGTCCTGGCAGAGGTAGGAAATCAACATACTGATTGGTTAGATATATGAAGGTGTTTTAAGTGAGGGATACATGGTTAGAAGTTCCTCAAATGAATAAGTTTGCTTCCACTAAGCTGATAGAGATGCAGGTAAGCACACATTAATACCAAAACAGTGAAGTCGGTATCTGATTAATATAAGAACTAAATTTACTCAGAAATAGTTTAAAATCTATTCAACTCACAATCATGCAACACATCTTTTCTAAAAACAGTTTATAATATGTGAAACTTTTAATATTTTTACCAAAAAAATGAGAAAGATGCCCTCCCTTTCATTAGAATAACTAATTTAAGATACGACTAAAAAATTCAACTACTGAGACAAACTGAATTGGGAAATTTTACACTGATTGCAGATCCATTAAAACCACAGTTTAATACCATTTCTGAACATGTTGGGGAAGAAAATGCATGAAAATAATTCAGGGCAGGTTTAGCTTTATCTGAGCAGTTATTAAAATGACTTAGAATATATTTTTTATTCTACACCCATTATAATCACAGATCAAGCCATATGTATGCATTATTGTGTATTATGCAAGTCCCACTTGCATAATACACAAACTGTGTTTTAAAGAGTATTTGATAAACAGAAAATATCCTAATCAAATATTGAACTAAATACAATAATTTAAATCTAAATCCAAAATGAATTAGTTGCAATGCATAACCCATCACAAAAAGCATTGCACCTTGCCTTTGGTATAAAATAAACAGAAACAGATGCATAAACTAAGAGGCTTCATGGATCCAACACTGACTAATAAATATTATCAGTAGTTTAAAGTAAGATGACAAGAATTAAAACCAGAATAGCATTTAATTTATAAAAAAATACATAAATATTCTTAATATTTCTTCAGGATATAATGATCCAATCAAGCTTTAAACTATGTAGATAATGTATCTTATAACCAGAAACCTGTATAACATAGTTCAAAGTAAGAAAAAAAAGGTGAAAATAGCCCTTTACTCTAATGACAACTCTGATGCTAACTTTAGAGTAGCCTAGCCGGCTAGGCTATAGTTAGCTGACACATCAGAGAATCTTATCACAGTTTTTGAAAAAGAAATCAGAGGCGACATGGTTAATAGATCATTTTTAAACAAATGAAAGGGTTTCTAATAGCAACATATCTCTTAATTTTTTTACATTGTGTTATTAAAGCCAGCATTTGTATGAGAAATGGTCTAATATGAGCCCAACTGAAATAAAACGGTATAATGTTGCATTCATTTAAGGTTTTTAATTAAGCTGTCTAGCAACTTTATTATCTTAACCTAAAGTTTTTCGTGCCTTTAGTGGGACGCTTTAAACGCCGCGTTTTGCTATAATGTTTACGTTTTATCTATCCTATTATTGAAGACCAGTAAACATTTAAGGCTAACATAGTGATACCTGCATTATAACATATTACATTAAACTACAGGGAAATGCAGACTGAAATACGCTCGTTTTTGACTCAGTTTCCAAACTCTAATTTAATACGCGCAATAATTCGTAGAGATATGTACTGGTTTGTTTTCAGCGAGGTGGTAATCTGCGGCAGCCCGCCTCGGTGTGCGCTACGCCGGCTAGCAACGTCACTACAGTCCGAGGCTCTAGCGGCCTGTCCTTTTCCATGGCTAACTTAAAATGGCGGTGAACGTTCGTTAGCCTAATAGGCAGCCCCAGAAAAAAAAAAGATGACTCCAATATGTAAAAAAAAAAAAAGTCACACCAACCGATGGGACACTTTACATGTCAGTTCATTTTAATGATCCTACCTTTAAATCTGAGGTCGCAGGGAGGGTCGAGGATTAGGACCTGGTCCAGCTTGGACATTTTAGCTGAATGGGGGGGGTGTACTTAGTTGTCGGTGTCGTGGAATGACAAGTGGAAATCCTGGATACTCTGCCACGGAGTGAGTCAAACGTTGGCGGAGTTTTAGCGGCGGAGCGGAGCAGCATGTGGGTAGAAGTACTTGAAGGAAGCTCAGCCCTGCGCCGCGTCCTCGTGGCTCTCTAACTGATGAGATTACGCTACATTAAACTCGTTATACGGTCAAATTAGAAGAACATTCGATAAAAAAAATAAAAACTTATCAAATATCCCGATGTGACCCTCATAAGATTAGATGTGCCTTATTTGTAGTGTTTCTGGTTTACGTTGCGTATCTTTTTAACTTGCCCATGGAAAAAAACAGGACTCGATCCTGGAAAAATAAATAGGCCAATTAAGACCTATAACATAAAGACTAATTCGTTATCATGAGGACATCATATAGGATTAGATTCCATGGGATTATATTTTATAACTATATATTTCATTATAATATCCCACAATGACATAACCTGTCATATTAGCTGATATCATAATAAATTCCTGAAACTGAATTTAGGAACATGTAGGGCCCAGGGACCACATGGAGTTCTTCATCAATATATAAATGCAGCATTTTTATTCAACAGATTGTATATTTAGTCATTCAATCAGTGAAGCTGTTTCTGTGTCAAGTGTGAAATTTCATTTATTCAGTTCAATTTATTTATATATCTCCAATTCACAACACGTCATCTCGAAACACTTTAAAGAGACAGTTCAAGCAGATCACACAGTCAGAGTGGTTCAAAGTTTTCTATCTGAGGAAAACCAGCTGATTGCTTTGAATTATTTACTCAAAAGCAATCCCTCACACCAAGCATGTGTGTAGCGACAGTAGAGAGGAAAACTCCCTTTTAACCAGAAGAAACCTCCAGCAGAACCAGGTGTGAGCGGCCATCTGCTGAGGCAGACTGGGAGACAGAAGCGTACAAAGAAGCAGACAAAGAAAACACAACTGTTAATCAGCTCCACAGGCGGCTCCATCCAGGAAATACACAGCCAGGCAGATGAGCTCCAAACCATCTGCCATGTCAAAGGATGAATGAGAGCACATGCAGTTAGTCAGTTAGAGAAACAGGGCTACACTGAAGAACAGGCCAAGCTCCAACATCCACAAAGAAAGCTGCAGCACTGCTAACACTTCTCTCCAGGATGGTGTCACAGCCAAACAGGAACAGAACAGATGAAGCAGAGAGAGCATAAAGTTTGAGATTGAGCTATCAAATACTACAGAATGGGAGAATAGAGATGGATAAATGAAATGGGGTCCCTATGTCCTCCAGAAGTCTAAGCCTATAGCAGCACAAATGCAGAAAAAGGTAGAGCCATACATGTTTTTTTTTTTTTTGTTTTTTTTCAGTTTCTTTTCTTTTCCAATTATGTTAAAACAACCTAAACTAAATTAGGGTATGATTGAAAAGTTAATTTGTTTAAGTTCAGTTTATTAAGTGAATCACTCTATTCAAGTTAATTACATACAGGCTGACATTATCGACCCTTTAATTCACTTTTGCCAGGTGTGATTATTTCCCCTTGCATAACATTGCATTAAAACCAATGTGATAAAACAATAGATAAGATATGTAGACAGACAAATAACCTTTTTAAGTAATATTTATATTTTCGGAGAAACTTTGTTTCAGGCTATTAATTTCTACAAGCTATATTCAAAATAAATAAAAAATAATACTTAAATATCTAACTTGCGAATTATAAAGCATTACACATTCTTAAGGACAGTTCGTAGGGCAGGCTATCATGGCCACACTAATGCATTATTAATCTATTTCTTCTTGCTAATTTTAAATCCTTACAAACTTCTAAATTATGGTATAAATCAGAAATGAACAGCTACCAGACAGAATAAAAAAGAAAACACTTTCTTTTCATATCTGCTTAAATAAACCTGAAAAAAATTGCATTTCAGTCAATGTTGTTAAAGTATGGAATATTATTGCTGCAATAAATTTTGCTGCAATGAAAAAAAAAAAATTCCTTCATTAAGTCTGTGCATTGAATTTATCACATGCACTTTTGGTATTGTCTGAATAAGTACTGATAGATGTGTGGTGATATACATGTGTGCTTATAGCTGAAATTTGAAGAACAAGGGACTTTAAGTGGAGGAGGCCCTTTTAGTTCCCTATAAGTTACAAGTTTTTTTTAACATATGCATATGTAGTATTACCTTCTTGCGTATTGAAAAACTTTTATGAAACAAAGTTTTACCAACTAAAGTAAAAAAAAAAAGAAAGAGCACTATATGTTGCCATAAACAGACCTAAGAATGTAGATTTAAAATCCTCATTCAAAAATGCCTTAAAAATCCAAGGGTTTTGTATCATCATACCATCTCACATTTGCATGTTTGTGGGACGAAATTTGGACTCCTATCAATAAGCTTAATATTTTAAGAAAAGAAAGAGAAGAAGGTGAAGCTGAATTAAGTGGCTCAGGTTTAGCAGTCTAACAGTTGCAGGATAGAACATGTTTCTGAGCCTGGTGATCTTGGTCTGGATGTTCTGCAGCCATCTGCCTAAGAGGAGATGCACAGGACGGGTGGAGTCCTTCATGATGTGGGGCACCCTCTTCCTGCATCTTGAATTGTAGACCTCTGAGGTGGAGCACGTGCTGCTCCCTACAATCCTCTATGCAGCCTTAACCAGTCTTTTCAGAGCCATCCTCTCAGCAGCAGTGCAGCAGCCGTGCCATATGGTGATTCAAGTGCATAGAACGTTACCATACAGCAATTAAAGTTCCTTAGCAATTAACTATCAAGTCAAGCAGAGACGCTGACGGGCTTTCCTGACCAAACTGGATGTTTTGGCCCACTAGTTAAGGTTACTGGATAGATTCACACCGCTTTTCCACAGCTGCAATATACAGAGGGTGATGAGGACTCTCGTCCTTTCTAAAATCCACCACCATCTTCTTCTCTTCTTCAGACTGAAGCACTGCACCAGGTGTGAGGTGTCCCACTGGGGTGTCCTGTCGTGCAGTCATATGTCAGCAGAGAAAACAGGAAGAGTCTCAGCATGCAGCTCTGGGGCAAGCTGGTGCTGAGGGCGATAGAGGAGGAGACCGTGTTGTAGATCCTCACAGTTTGAGGTCTGTTAGTCAAAAAGTCCAGGAACAAACCTCTAGTGTTGGACTCAGTCCAGTAAGGAGAGCTTCCAAACCACGGTCTGCGGTATGATGGTGTTGAAAGCTGAGGAGAAATCCAGGAAGAGCAAACAGATGTAGGAGTTTCTGCCCATCAGGTGGATGAGGGCTGTGGAAGGCATAAATGATGACATGGTGTTATAATTGCTACCAAACAGAGATCCTCTTGGTAGGAACCAAATCCTACCAGGAGCTTTTCAACTGAAAGTTCCTCCATCTCTCCTGTATTGGGACAGAATAATCTTCTTACATTTTATTTTGAATTGTCTCATCCGTGGGCATTCCCTCAGCTCAACCCATATAGCGTTCCAAAGCTTCACCACAAACTGAGACAAAAGCATTTCCTGGCTGGTATGTTTAAGTTTCAATACCCCCCCCCCCCTTCAAGGAAAATCCTTTTTTTTTAGTTTTCATAGGACTAGTAACTCGTTTTTTCGACAGTAGGCTGACAGGAAAGGGGGTATGAGAGACAAGTGGGAATGGATCACAGGCCAGATTCGAACCCAGGTCGGCCACTAAGGCCTTCATACATGGATGGTGCTCGCTAACCACTTTACCACCTGCATGCCCGGAACATCAATTTTAATATTTTTCAGCAGCATTACTTTTTGCATGGTACACTGTTCATAATGTTAAATATTGAACCATATCTGAAAGTTTTTAGATTTTAGACTGAATGAATAGTGTCTTTTTCTGTGGCACCTGAAGCTCACAGTTATTCTTAAAGTTTGCTGAGACCAATGAACAAATGAGGAAATGCCTTTATGTCCAGGAATTTTCTGGCTTTAGCTAAAACTCCTTTACTTCTAACAAGTTTTCAGTGTGCTTTCCAGCTGAGATTTTCCATCAACTAGAACCCATACCACTAATTTAATTATAAATCTCCCCATTTCAATTTAGTTTTATTTAAATGTCAGAATTAGTTATTCTAATTAAACCAGTATTGCATGTTTTTCCATCTCTGCAGCTGCACTGAGTGTTGGATGTATAATGTAAAAAAAAAAGGAACAAGAAACATTTCAGGTTTGACCAATTATCATTACCAAAACCAATCTAAATGGATTGATATCTGTCTTACAGGACTGCATTTGTAAGAAATGAAGTAATAAAATTTTATCAAATGGAAAAATCAGCATTTTAAAGTAGTTTGTAGGAGGGAAACTCTGAGTAGCATCTGTGTTTCAGCTCACAGTCCCTTAACTGCAACAACACAGCAGTAATTTGTTACGTAGTCTTGTCATACAACTCTAATGTACTTTACCGATGCGTGATCCTACACCAAAGATGGGGGATAAACATCCAAATAAACTCCTTAAAGGTTGAAGTGCATTCTGGATCATAGAAATCAAATTAGCCTGAACTGCATCTATATTACAGCCGTGTGGACTTGTGTTATCAATTAAAAAGTCTGGATCGTAAACCCTTTGGAATGTATGTTTTATTTTCAGAAGAGAAAAAACACTTCATAAACAAGAACTTAATGAATAATACTGTACTGCAATGTTTTGATATACAAATTAAACCTCTTCTATTGGGAAAACGGATGCATGACTTATATATATATAGTAAATGAGATTAACTATAAAGAGTGGGCACTTTGTAAGTACAGTTAGACCGTACAAGCAATCGCTGTCTTAGTGGTCGTCACTTTAAACTATGCTAAACTTTATCTAAAAAAAAAAAAAAAAAGTAACACTTATGGGAATGTTACTAAATACAGAAGGTCATAATCATCCGAATGCACAATGGGAAAAAAAGGTTTTCAACATTCGGATGTCAGCAGGCAGCTGTTACCTCTCTTTAAACGCTTATTTTAAAGTCATAACTCTTTTCTGGTACAGAGAAAGACTGTAGTCACAAGCCTGATGGTGGAATAAAAGGCACATTATATCTCACTTCAATGGTATGCTGAGGGAGGGGATTTCTAAAAGCAAGGTAATACTATTTGGCAGTTCCATAATGAGATTTCATATGATTTTCCATTACAACAATACTTAGATCATCCCATGCAGGAATCTGTGCAATGTTGCATTGCAAAGTATAGAGATATCAATATTACAAAGGTTAGTAAAAACAATGGTCATCCTCGTCTTTTTCATGAAGAACCGTAGAAGTGATTTTCTTTAGGTATTTTATCAGGTATCATCAAAAATGTTGTCAAAATCTCAAAAGTGATCGGAACAGAACTGTTAAAAAAAAAAAAGAAAAAAAAAAAAGAAAACAGGATGTTAATATAACCTTAATTTACACAAGTAGGCTAAGACCTTAAACCTGATCCTACAAGTCAAAAACCTGGGTTTTATTCCCATGTTACCTTTTAGATATCAGTTAGACAACAACACATGTTTTTACAAGAAGACCTTCAGGTTTTACTTTTAATTAACATTACAAATGTAACCCCCTTTCCTCCTGCTTAAAAAAGAAAACAAAGCTGTTGTCAGTTATTTACAGCTATCCTGTGTAGTGCACTATGAAATGTTTCCATAGACATCTTCAACAAACTCATGAAGAGGTTTATTCTACAGCATTAAAAAGATTCCTTTAAAAAGAAAAGGCACTGTGTGATTGACTCAACTAAAGCTCAGCTAAATGTGGCTAATAGAACCTGCGCTGTTAAATGTCCTAGTGAACTTTAAGGGTGAAACAAGATGGCACAACAAAAAAAAAAATCTATGAATACACAAAGGTTGATACAATCATCCCAGAGTCACGTAGAAATATTTGAAGAAGTAAATACTGCCTCTAAGGAGCAAATTCTTCTGGAAAGTGTGTTTAATGTGATTTGATCCAACAACCACTAGAGGGAGACAAACCTTAATATTGCTGCTGGCTTACATGATCAAAGTTGGTGTTTAGACCTAATTAGTACTGCTATTTCTCCCTTTCTATGACCTTAGAGTTGTCCTCTTGGCAGGCAGGATGCCATGTGCACTGTGGATTTTGTTTATCCGGGTGTTGAAAAAGCTGATCTCATCACATCAGTCTGTGTGGGTACTAGCAGCACCTCCTGGTGGTCGGGTTGGGCTGCCGAGTGAGTTTGAAGGAATCATTGCTCTCCACTTCAGCATTTTGCAGGGGTGGGATCTGTTTACCTGACAAAACACAATCAACAATGACTTATGAAAGGAGTCAATAAATAACTCTAGCATGAAACAAACATCTTTGGCTGAATTTCCAAGGAATGTGGTGAGGGAAAGATTCCTGCAGCATCTAAAAAGGATCGGCTTCTTATTATTTCAAGACCAACACACTTTGGCCCTGCCCTTCTTAAATGACCTTGATGAATGCTACAGACTGAAACACATTGTTTTACAACTAAAGCTGGATCCTCAGGCTAACTGAAGTTATCATATATCACAGTTTAAAAAGGCTACATTTACTGTTAAAGTTAGTGGTCTTTATAGGCCTAATGGGCACTGTTGAAGAGAGGGGTGAGTGGGTGGGGCAGGAACAAAGCACCTGATTAGAGTGTTGTCAGTTAAAATTAGCACATTTTCAATTGCTCTAATGCACGTGATGTGACAGAAGTTGATGGTGGTTACTTCCAGCAGCGAATAGGGAGACTTTTAATTTAAGTCTTTTAATCAGGACTGTAATGCATATTTTCCTGCTTAAGATTTGAATGAGTTCTAAATTTGTGAGTAGTATGGATTTAATGGTTAGGGAATTAGCTGGGAACTGAGCACTCAGGGCTGCATATTGCTGCTACACAATGGCTGTTTATCAATTAACAATATGCTAAAACAACCTTGAATGCTAATAATAAAAGTTATTATAGATAGTAAAAACTTTTATTGATGTTAACAAATTTTTGCAGCTGGTTTAATTTCAAAATTAATTACTTGAAGTCTACTAAAATAGTGTCCTCGTTTTTACAACGTTTTAGGGGTGTCACGAATCGACTTTTTATTTCCGATACGATACCGATATCACAGCTTTGAGAATTGGCCAATCCTGGAATTAACCTGATACAACATTAGAACAAATTACACCGGCTTTTATTACTGTTTTATACTGACGAATGACAGAAAAGGCTTGATCAAGTAATTTTACTAAAACAAGGAACAGGTATTAAAACAACTGACCCATATAAAATTAACCAGTGAGTTACGGAAGCCTTTAACAGAAGCACAGTGTTTGTATATGCATGAAAATATCAAAAATTTTAAATGCTGACTGATAAAATTCAATGATTTTTGGCTTATATTGGAACAAATAGATATTAATATCGGATCAGGACACCCATGCCAATTTTTAATAAAACAATGATAATATGATTCTAATACACTTATCATTTGGACTGCAATGCATTTTCTTTTATGTTATGTTAATACTTGTGTTTTCTCCTTTTTATTGCTTTATCTATTCTAAACGTAATATTGAGTTTTATCGCTTTTACCATTTTATTTTTATCCTATCAGTGGCAATTTGATTTCTTTATTGCATGTAGAAATACAATATAGATAACAATTTTTTTTTTTTTTTCTGTTTATATGTGTAAGTGATTGATTTACTAAGGAATGAAAATATATTTATCTTTAATCAAATATAGCCACAGCATTTGACAAAATAATTGCAACATCTACAGAAACAGTTTGAAACTTTGCTTTGAGCTTTATTATAATTATTCTTCTTTTGTGATTCTGCTGTTACTTTAAACTGAGAAGAAATGTATTTTGTTCCCCGTGTCATAAATTATGTGGGCGAGGACACCAAAATTATAAACAGGGTTAGGGAATTAAAAAATGACAATTGTTTCCAGTCACTGCATTCATCAATGTCAGATGGTTTACAAAAACAGGCTTACCCATTTTTTTGCTTAATCCTACTTTAAACTGAGTTTATGGGTTTTTTACACCAGGTTTATATACATATGGTGTTATTCTATAAAGCAGAAATAAATGAATTTGGAAAAAAAAAAAAAAAGAAACTACACTGGCTGAAGAAAAAATATGCTTCAAACAGCAACAAAATGTTTATTTTTTCCACAGTGATTCTATCTGCATATATCTGAATAGGTCACTGTAACTTTGTCAACAAACCTAATGAAATATTGCAGAGAAAAACTAGAAAGTGAATGGATTTGTGTCAGAATTGTTTCAGACTGCATCTACAGATGGAACATAAAGGTGTGAAAACGTACTGATTTTCTGAAAGAGCTCCTCCACATTCACTGCATTTCTGGCGCTGGTCTCAATAAAAATAGCTGCAATTGATTCAGCAAACTCCTTTGCTTCCTTCATAGGAACTTCCCTGTGAAACAGAAGAACAGCACAAAAGTGGAAAACAGGCTCAGATGGAAATTTTTGCAAGTGAATTTCCTTACTTACAAAAAAAACTCGACAAATGCAGTAGAAAGTTATGTGGAGAGGGATGTAGTAGGTTACAGCAGTTAGGACAGTGGTTTCCTTTTGCAGTGGCAAATGGGGGATAAAAAACAAAGCTGGTTTCTTAAATCTTTGTCTAATTAGCAATGAGTCAGTTTCCTTGTTTTTTTACTAGATTGGTTCTAAAGAAAGAGTCTCACCAGCTTAAAAACAGCCCTTTATCACTCACATGTAGTGCTGTGAAATATTATACACCCGCCCTTTCGATTTCTTCCCTTTAAAGTTTTTTGTTGGCATTGTACATTTTTATAGCACACCCTTTACATTTTTTATAAGTTAAAAAATGTAAAGAAAAGTCTGGTCATATTCAGAATTCAAACTTCTGAAAGTACTTTAAATATGAAATTATTACATACTGACCAATAAATGATAAGTGTTTTAATTAAGAGTAATTTTTATTTGAATGTGCTTTACTGGAGATATCAAGTAAAGTCTGTGACGTCACGCTGTGGTATTGGCTGTTGAGCAAGTCAAGATGCTGCATCTAGTGTTTGTCACAACGCGCTATTATCCAAGTCATCTTGAAAACATTCTTCGAAATGTTGGCTACATATTACGTGTTTTTTCTCTAGCCAGATGGTCGAAGGTTAATCCTCCCTCTTCAAGATGGCAATCCAACAATGAACTTGTGGATCATGTAGCGGAAAGGTGAAATAAGTCTTTTTTTTTTTTCACTTTTACCCGATGTATTACAACATCCAACTGCCATGCACATGGGCATTGACAGTGTAACTATAGCTCTTGTGAATTCCAATGGAAAAGTTCTTTGGAAATCTAAAATTATGTTGTTGATTGCAATTGTGTATAATATTTCCAAAAAAAGAAAATTAAAAACAATCAACTGGAGCGTTGAGTTTGAGGTTTTATACAGTAGCCCAACAAAGCCTTGTTTTTGACGAAGGGGTCCACCTATTTGGAATTGGGATCATTCAGCTTCTTTTGTTAGACTGCAATACCCCATACCCATCTGAAGTTTCAGACATTTAGATGGGTATGGGCTACTGTATAAAACCTAGAACTCAACGCTATTCCTGACATTTAGAACTGAAAAAGCTTCCTGGATGGGAATCTAAACCTCTTCTAACTTGGAAACAAAGTCCATTCAAAAATCAGAACTTATCAAGGCCTCTATGGTAGAATAGAAGCCTCTCATCTTAAATTTGCTAGAAAATATCATGATGATCCTCAAGAATTTTGGGTAAGTATATGAATGTTCATTCTGGTTAACGCCTTTTTTCTTTTTTTCTTAATGAATGAACCATCTCCTCTATCGTAAATTTAAAAAGAAGAAAATCAGGCATTTGGGTCAGCTCAAGTAGGAATGGCCTAATTAAAGTCTGGACCTGTAAACCTGTGAAATGACCTTTAACAGGCTGGTTATGCTTGAAGATCTATTTGTCGTATTGCAAAGGCCTTATGGCAGTTGTCTCCATTACTTTTTCACATAGAACCACATTGGTTTAGATGGCTTTTTAACATAATCCTTGAAATTATCAATAAAAACTGACATTTGTGCGGAGATTATCTGACAGTAATATTCAGGTGAAGATCTAAAAGACTGAAGTGCGATAGCAAAAACAGAAACCTGTAGATCCTAATTCCAGGCAGAGAGAGACAATCTTTTATTAAAACCTGTGAAAATATAAGCTCACCTGATATCTCCTAAATCATTCTTGTTTCCTGCTATGGCTACAACAATGTCTTCTGGGCCATGCTCCTTCAGCTCCTTCACCCACTTTTTCAGTGTCTGGAAGGAGTCCTGGAAGGAGGAGGAAATGATGGTCAGACTGGAATATTTCCAGGAGTCATTACCTCCGGTCACACAGTCAGTGTTGGTGTTTTCAGATGAGTTTCCGAGGGGCCGACAGGGAAAGAAGGACATTGTAGGTCATGGATACATAGTTTCCAAGACTGGTAATTCTCCCTTTGTTAAACCAGTTTATCTCATGTCTAATTATTCAACAGGACAGAAAATTGCTTTTGTTGCACAGCAGGTTGTAGACAGCTCGTTGTTTTGACTCACCAGTTTAGTTATGTCGTAAACAATGACAGCAGCAGCCGATCCTCTGTAGTACATAGGAGCTAATGAGTGAAACTGAAAAAAAAACAATGTTTTAAGTAGTTAAAATCAGGGAACAAAATCCTTTTTTTTTTTTTTTTTTTAAAAAGACTTTTCTGAAGAAGGTTGATGTCTAGGTTAAGAAATATTGTTTAAAATCCGGTAGACTCTTCCTCCTGCCGTCTCAATGTTTTCTGTCATAATGCAGAATTTGCAAACGGGTGTAACAGTGAACTAATCATGTAGGGAACAGTCTATGTCACAGTGACAGAAAATCACAAGTTAGGAAAAAGAAACGATGTCAGTTTCAAAAGGAAAGGTACTATTTGAAATTGCTTTATTTTACCATATACATTTGTTTTAAAAAACAAATGTTTGATGAACCTGTTGACCTGCACCATAGAGCTACAGCCATGCACATGAGCTATCCTTGCGTTTTCATAGCAATGACTGCTTTCCTTTTCCTTTAAAGTTTATATCCCCCCCCCCTTCAATCAAGGCGGCCTCCACAGCTGCAAGTGTGACTTCAATGGGAGTGACACTCGATAGTTAAGGGGTAGTGCTTATGGGTGGTTTGGGATTGGGCCTATATTAATTTAAGGTAAACCAAACAAGCAAGAAGTAGCAAAAGGAGTCCTCCAAATGTACAGTGTCACTACCCGATCCGTACCGGTAGCACCCTCCGTACAATCAGCTCATTTGCACATGTGCAACCAAAACATCTGGGTCGCCTTCGATTTTACTTTGTAAAAAAGACCTAAATAAAAATTTCCCTCAATAAAAATAGTAAGCATACTAAACAATAATGTGTTAAAGGTTAATAATGTATTTCCTGAGAAAATGCATCAAAATCCTTTCTGTTTTATCACTCGTCTGTTCCCGATCTTTACAGGAAATAGGATCCTGCGCTACTTCCAGCAGCTAACTTTTTTGGCTTTAATTTCAAACATAAATCTAGTCTATTTGAGTTTTATTTTTTTTTCTTTCATGTTAACCTTATTATACCATGCATAATCTAAAGAAAGAAACTAGTAAACTGCAGATAAACATGGTGTAATAATATTTTGCCAGACTACTCAGAGCATGTCCGATGATTACGTCACAAAAGCAGTTTAATGGAGAAAATGTAAAAAGCATCAAATTTTCTCAGAAACGTCATTAAAAATGTTTTAACGATGTGTATTAGCATTTTTTAGCGATTTAAGGATAAAAATAATTACTTTTAGTACCATGATTACATTATTTATGGCAACCTGGAAGAATATCTGCTTCCACATGTGCAAATCAGCTGATGGTACGGATCCTGCTTACGGGACGGATGGGGTAGTTACATGTGCACCCAAATAGTTAACCGATGCCAAATCCCAGAAGTGAAAAAATCAATTACACTATGGTGAACTATTATATAAAGTGATGTATTTAAACGAAAAGAAATACCATAGCTGTGTCCAAACGTCTGCCCTAACCCCTCGATCATTGTATAGAGCTGAACTATATAGTGAACTTTATAGAGAACTCTACTCTCTACTAACTCTCTACTTTTTGCTCCCTGCTGTTCATGTAACTCTGCCTGCGCATCTTGTTATTTGTCACCACTACTACAAATCCCATGATGCTTTGCAAGGAGAGCTCTCGCAAAGCAATCTGGGACATATCTGCTTGTCTAGTGACCTTGGTTGATCACTACTTTTCAAGGTGCATTTTGGGTAATTTCAAGTCCACTACTTTTTCATCCACTTAGACATTTTAACACTCATTGAAAATGGCATAACCACCATATAGTGCCCTATATAGTGATTAGGGCGGACGTTCGAACACAGCCTATACCATTTATTGCATGGCTGCACATGCTGCCATTACACAAGATGTCTGATTATCTCAAATAATAAACACATCTCCCCCAGTCCCTGAAAACTGTAATAATCAAACCTCTATAGAAAAAAAGCAACCTGGACAAGCTTTTACTGCAAAACTACAGGCCTACTTCAATTCTTCTCTTTATCACCTCAAGAAGGGTTACTCATGAGATGAGTAAAGCTGCCCCCAACACATTCTTTAAAAGTCAACCCCTTTAATATTTCGGTTTATGAGAGCAGATACGATTGACACCATTTAAGTAATGGGTAGGATCCTTGTTGATCTTTTAAAGTTGTTTTCCATCTTTCCACTAAGCGTGCTGATAGGTGTAAAAGGAAATGTTTGGCTGTACCGACGAGGAATGGCTTATGTTTGTATTTGAATGAGTCATTAAATCATTTGTAGGCATGTAATGAAATGTGCAACATCAGTGAAATTTCCCACTGTCGTCAGCAGAAATCTGTATCATATTTTCCATCTGATGAGACAAGCAGGATAATAATGGAGAGCTAAAGAAAAGAATAAACAGGCCTTTACTTTGAATGCTTTGAATGATAAAATGACAAGTCTGCGTCACAACAAAACAACAACATTGATCGTTTTTGGCCTGTCACTCTGTGCATTAGATCAGAGGCAGCTTATTGTAATCCTATGACGCCAGTGACAAAGGTCTCTCGATGGCGCTTACTCACGTCTAGGAAATGTGTGAGCTAGCTTTTCCATGCATTAAGCAAGTTTGGCAAACCTTAGATAATACCCCCTCCTTGCGATTTCTCATTGATTACTAATTATTTGTAAGATATGCACAATCAAACTTCATAAATGTAGTCACTTGACCGCATTAAATATGAGCTAATTTCATGAGCATATTGCGCATTAATCACCTCTTGAGCGCGCTCTCGGAAGCGATCTCCGATCTACTCTGAAGCAACAGCACACTGCCGGTCAACCTCTATGAGAAATCCCTTTTGAGGTTTGAGCCTCTGTCTATGAGGTAAGCAATGAAAAAGTAAGGCCCTGATTGGCTAACACACCAAAATATGTTACTTCCAGCGAGGCTCCGCCTCTTAGGGGGTCTATGGATTAGGGGCAGGTCGAGAAGCTGGCTGCTCAAATCTGATTGGCAAACATACTTAAGGATTTGTGACTGGCAGTGGCCAGACAGCGGGGAGTTTGTTTCCTCATGAGTCGAGGGCGAAAAGTGATTATTCAGTAAGAGCATCATCTTGTGCTGAACTCTTGCCATCATCTCAGCAGTTTATTATTTAATGGCGCTTCACCAACAGCTATATTCACCCGTTGTATAATGTGTTTATAAATGCAATAGGTGACGTTTGGATTATTACACCATTGAGCTCCCGTCAGAGCAGCAGCTTCCACTGCCCCCACCTGTAATTAAATCAATCAAAGCACTGTCAGTCACTTGCTTGCCTTCTTTCTCTTTTCACAAATCCAGTCAAACATTTAGTATTACATGACGGTTTGCTAGATGTGAGACATTTTAGGTCACTGTGGTGGGAAACCTGGGTAATAAATGACCTACTTTTCATCAGATGCAGGGATGGAAAGTCAGTGCAACACAAAAAGGTTCAAATGTTCATTTGTCCCTGTTAGTGTACAGTATTTTTCCTATTTTAGCCTTCCTATTTTTGCCTTATTTTAGTCAAATTTAAATGAACATGTTTTTTTGTTTGAGCTTAAAACGAATGAAAAGAATTCTAATATTTGCGTGGGGTCTTTTTCACCACAAAGCACCAATGCAACGCCACACCATGAGTGGATCACTAGTTGTTCAGTGGAGGTGAGAACTACTGAGGGGAACAGGATCAGTGTTTACATCCCAAAGAGAAAACATCTCCTGACCTTTTAACCCAATCAATCAGACTGTTGCACTGTTAAAAGTAACACTATGTGATGAGCAGCTCTCCTGCCAGATAGGAAATGGAAACAACCTCAAAAGGATGATTTATGGAGATGAAAGTCTAAAGTAAAAGAGTTAGTGAATTTTTCCTCACCCGTTCCTGTCCAGCTGTGTCCCAGATCAGAAATTTATGGAGTTCATTTCCACATGGCACAGTCTTGGTCAGGAAAGATGCCCTGCAGAGAAGAAGGAGCAATTCCCAATAATGACTCTGCTGTCACTTGATCAAAAAAAAAAAAAACATCTGTTGAAGTTGGCAGAAACAACAAAATATAAAAATGGTGTTTAATAGTGAACCATGGGAGGATATAAACCTCAAGCTTCTCTCCTTCTGTATTTTATACACTAACTTTCCTTTTTCCCTGTTTTTGTCTGATGACAACACTGAGCTCTAATTAGTGTTTCCTAATAAGAATTTAGATCTACCTACAAAGTTAATTAGAACATGTCAAAAAGTATTCACACCTATTCACTCTAGAAACTATTTGTTGTACTAGAATCCTGTTCTGAATCCAAGTATGGATAATAACAGAGCCCATTGGAGGGGGATTATTATCAGTTCTTTCTCAGTTGCTTGGTTTGGTCAGTTACACCGATTGAGGGAGGGTCATGGTGACTTCATTTCAAAATATTAGCGATCACCATGCCTTCTGGGAGTTCCAAAGCTGCACAATGTCATTTGAATCTATCTCCAAAATAGTGCTTTGACGAAATCTGATTTCTGCTTCTCGGGGATCTTTAACATTTAACCGAATTTAACACAAGTGGGCTCAAAATTGGTTGCATAAGTTTCTTGGTGATGGACCTAAAGGGAGTCAATACTTTTATAGTGCTATGTTCAGACCACTTGCGATTGAAGCATTAGAAGCAACTGGTTTACATACAAAGTCAATGGTTGACGCGCATAAAGGCGAATCAAAGGGTCCTGCAGTGCATCTCGAGCAGCAGGAGCAGCTCGTCCTGACACATCTGAGCAGGCGAAGCAGCACCTCATGAGCTTCTGATGCACAACGCGTCACATCAACAAATCAGATGCTGACACAGCACTGCTGAGGCAGAGCGCTATGATCACTCCCCTAAAACATTTATTAACACCTAAATTAACTTAAAATGTTGACCCCCCCCCCACGGTGTAATGGGGTTTCGTGCTGGTCTGACAGCCGAATAACATTGTAGGAGAGATTGTAATCTTAATGAACTGACTGCACAGATGATGTTTTCAGGTGTACTTTCTCACTTAAAAGCATATTAAAACTATTTTACCCACTTATACCAGCAAATAAGCCACTCTCTGTCATTGAACACAGGAGCAGCAGAAGCAGCAGACGCATCTGTTCACACTTTACTGCATGCTTTTTAGGAGCAGCAAAGATGCACTAGAGGCGCGTCTGACCGTTTGGCGCGTTTGACGAGCATCAAAAATGAAGCAGCAGGCGCTTTTTTGATGCACATATCTTGTTAGGTGTGAATGTAGCATAAGTCATGTTTAAATACCTACTTTAAGAAAAAAATAAAAGTTCAATCAAGTGTCCAGCAATCCCTCCTCCTATGGATTCATGCTAGGAACTCATCCATGATATTTAAATGAACCCAAATGAACTGTTGAGCTTCTGATAGACTCATTTGCAGCAGTGACAGAGTCTCATGTGATTCATGTACTCACCCGATGGTGGGGCTTATGTTGTGATCAAAGTGATCTTGAACAAATCTGCAAACAATGCTGGATTTACCCACTCCTGTGTCCTGCAAGCAGAGTGTCACAAGTCAGTCACAGCAAATAAAAAGCCTGGGTCACTTTAAAGCAAACTGATTATGCAACTGGATGGTCTGAAGCTCAGCTGATGAGTCTTTTAATGCTAATGCGAGCCTTAAGATTATAGCAAAGAGTATAAAGCTGTGAAATGTATACCAGACAAATGTTAGTGTATAAATAAAAATATTACAAAGAATGTTATGAAGTGAAATAAATGTCAGCTAATATAGTCCAAGTGCTATGGACTGGCATTCTACTTGCTAATGTAATATTTAGTTGGTTGGACAGTCTCATGATATCAAACACAAAAGACATTTGTCAAAGTGCTAAAGGTCACAGAGTGATGAAAGGAGAGGAAATAAGAAAAAAGACACGTTCTGCATGATAACTGATAGTGTGATTGCAACATTATCATTACAAAGAGTTCCAAGTTACTCAAATCAACCCTCTCCTTTGACTAGGCCACTACTAAATTTCCAATCTTTTGTTTGTTTTTTGTTTTGAGCCATTCAGAGGTTGAACTGCTGCCGGCGTGTTTTGGATAATCATTCTGCTGCCTAATCAAGACATGCTTGATGAGATTGTTTCTCCTGACAACTTTTCAAAAAGATCATTATTTATCTTGTCAGTCCTGAGATGTTTATTGGAAAATGTGAGATCTGACTTTCAGTCAACATTGGTTTCTAATTGAAACCCTCCCACTGATTCGTTTCTTCCTGTTGGTCTGGGTTTGTGTGTAACTTCCTGGGTGAGACCTCATCACATTCAGAGTACTTTGGTTTGGCTCCTGGACCCTGTTTTCTGTTTGACTTTAGCTCACTGGAGCCCAAAAGCCCCTAGAAATCACTTTGTCAGCCTTTCCAGACTGATGCATGTATCTTATCCCTTCATTAATTTGCTGGATTGGGTCATGATGTGTTGCTTTTTAAGGTTAGCCTACTTTAAGGTTAGCCAGACAGGTTCCTTTAGGTTTCCTGATCCTGAATGGAATTTAGGTTGTTATTAATCCGGGGTGCGGTTAATGGCATTGACCTGAAAAATGTGGGTAACTGTTTCTTAATTTTAACTTAAAAAAAAAAAAAAAAGTGGGGCAACACATTTTAGAGAGCTTCTATTCGGAAGAGAATTAGGGTAACTGATTTTTAAATATTATTTTAGTTTAATATGTCAGAATTCTGACTTTAATCTTAGAATTCTGACTTTTTTGTCCTCAATATTCTTTTTTTCTCAGAATTCTGACTTTAATCTCAGAATTCTCACTTTTTTCTCAGAATTCTCACTATTTTTTCTTTAGAATTCTGACTTTAATATCAGAATTCTGACTTTAATTTCAGAATTCTGACTTTAGTCTCAGAATTCTGACTTTTTTCTCAGACTTCAGAATTTTTTTTCTGAATTCTGACTTTAATCTCAGAATTCTTACTTTAATTTCACAATTCGGACTATTTTCTCAGACTTCAGACTTTTTTTCAGAATTCTGACTTTAATCTCAGAATTCTCACTTTCTTCTCAGAATTCCCACTTTAATCTCAGAATTCTCACTTTAATATCAGAATTTTGGATATTAGCGGTCATAATTCAGTCAGAATCCTGAGAATAAAATCAGAATTCTTGCTTCCCCCCTCATATTATACTGAAATAAAATTTAAAAAACAGTTAACTTTTTTAATTTTTTCGGTTGCCCTATTCATCTTCCGCACTTCTAAGTTCAATACACAGGCCTATAGGTTATCATCCTGATTTTTTAAGGAGTATAAACATAAACAGATGTGTCAGTGAACAGAGCTTTTTTCCTTGAGAGCTCCAATAACTTTTCCCTGTTACTCTTAAAATGCTTTCTAAACTGCGACAAAGTTGGTCATAGATTATTGAAGGAAGAGCTGAGGGCTTTATTTATTTTTTTGCAGACTCAGCAGTAAATCTAACGGCCCTCATGACGTGTGGTCGCTGGTCGGATAATGACGTCATGTGCGAGACATTTTCAGAAAAAAAAAAAAAACTAAAAAAGACGTTAAGACGGACCGGGTAAAAGTCCCGTTATTCTGTATAAAAGGTGCGATGAAATAGCTCAGGAAGGGATACCTGCGCCTATGGGTGGATAAAAAAAAGTTAGCCATTTTTATTTTAAGTTTAAGGCGACTGGCCATCAACAAGTTGACATGGAAACACACGGAAAATATGTTCATTTTTATTTAATCAAAGTTAACTGAATGTAGAAGTGAAGCTTCTACATATGTTGCGTTGCTCTTCACCTCAAAATGTCTTCCGTTAGTTCCCCTCACTGATGGAATTTCAACCCATAAAAATAAAGAAAGGAAAACCATCTACTTACCCCTAAAAGACAAACTTTCAGCTCCCTTATAGCCATGGTGGGTTCTCTGGAGGCTCTAAATCCTCATTTGTTCGTGTTGTTTATCGTTGTTTTTGTCTCGTCATGTTTGTCACAGCTATTTTTTTTCCTTTCCCCTCTTCTGGAATAAGAGAAACCCAGCCCCTGACACAGACAGGCAAGGCAGGCAGACAGGCTGACCATCAACCCAGAAAGCTGGCATCCTGTCATGCTAAAAAATGACGCTTCCGCAACAGATTTTCAAAATAAAACGTCACCATCAACATTTTTTAGAGGTCAATAAAAAACATCTAGCCCTTTTAACAAACATGTGTACAGATGAGGATTAGGGCCACTGAAAAAACAAAAAAAGTTATATGATTTTTAAATTTTATTATAGTTTAATATAATAAAAAGTCAGAATTCTGACTTTTTTCTTAGAATTCTGACTTTAATCTCAGAATTCTGACTTTTTGCTCAGAAGTCTGACTTTAATCTTAGAAATCTGAGTTATTTCTGACTTTTTTCTCAGAATTCTGACTTTAATCTCAGAATTCTGACTTTCTTCTCAGAATTCTGACTTTAATCTTAGAATTTTGACTTTTTTTTCAGAATTCAGATTTTAATCTAAGAATTCTGACTTTTTTCTCAGAATACTGACTTTAATCTCACAGTTCTGACTTTTTCTCTGAATTATGACTTTTTTCCCAGAATACTGACTTTAATCTTAGAATTCTGACTTTTTTTCCCTCAGAATTCTGACTTTTTTCTCAGAATACTGACTTTAATGTCACAGTTCTGACTTTTTCTCAGAATTCTGACTTTTTTAGACTTTAGACAGATTTTCTTTTTCATTTTGTTTACACAAGTGTAAAATAAAAAAAATTTCGTTTGGAAACAGCTCACTGGACAATTTCATCTTTTTAAAAGTGCATCCTTGAAAAATAATAAAAATGACTGTAAATGTACAATTCTAACATGTTTTTTTTTCTTTTTCTCAGAATTCTGACTTTAATCTAAGAATCCTGACTTTTTTTCTCAGCTAACCAACATGTCTTTCCATGTCTGTTTTAGAGACTAAACTAGCTCTCTTGTTTTAATCACCTTCTGCTCTTCCATTAATGAAATAGCATCACCGGGGATCCCTCGGGCATGTAGAAAGTCACCTAATTCCATTATTTTCCACCAATGTGTTACTGGCCCTCCCAAACAAATCACACCTTTGTCAGTAAAGCTGAATGCTCCCACACCTCTACCTTCATGGTGCCCATCTACATTAAGATCCAAAATTCTGAGGAAAAAGTCAGAATTCTGAGATTAAAGTCAGAATTCTAAGTTTTTTTCCCATATTAAACTGAAATTATATTTAAAAATCAATTAGTTTTTTTTTTCCCCCAGTGGCCCTAATCCTCTTCCATAAATATGTGATAGCATGAATAGTTCAATATATTTTGTTAATTATTTTGAAATGTTAAACTTACCTCACATTGATTTAACCAATGTTTTAATGAAATTCTTTCTTTCTTATATTTTTAATGATGAGCGTTCACAGATAATATAACATCAACTTTAGTGTGATTATGGTACAATACCCAGATCAGCTTATTAACTACACATGCTAAAGTTTCCTGATTTCTACTGAGGTCTCCATAAGTCTGGTTTGTATACAAGCATTTATAGAAAGTTAAGTGGAAGGAAAACAGTGATAATTACAGCCATTCAAGGAATGTTAAAAAAAAAAAATCTTTAAGGCCTTTTTTTAGATTACAGTTCACATTTCATTTGGAAAACCCTCTGGTTTGGATAAAGAGTGGAAAGGCACTGAATTTGTTTGCTTGAAGTCCAGTTGTGACATTTTTAAAGCCGGTGAGGTTTTGGTCCACTGTGTTTTTCAGACACCCTGTCAGTACAGCAATCTCCAAGGACGTTTTAGAGCCCTTTATGCCTCATTCAGCTTATTACCTGTATATAGATTGTAATTTCATTTCCCAGCCCACACTGACAAAGGTACCAAAAGCTGCTTCAATTGGCGGCAAACTGTCCTGCCTTAACCTGATGGGAATCAATGGAGTCTAGAGGAAGAGAAGAGATGCCAAACCCAACAAAACAGATGACCTGAAGGATAACCTGAGCAAAACATTAGAACCTATCATATCTTATATTAAATATATATGAATCAGTGACTGTTTATTGTTTATTACCTGTATGCCATGATTGTCAAAATAATACAAAAAAAGGGCTTGAAATATTTAATTTTAAGTGTAGTCAGTGCATAAACATATATCACTTCACATTTGAAAATTAGTGACATAAACACTATTTTTAATAAAAATCCAATTGATAATATTAATGGTAAGAATATCAATAAGAAAAAAATGAATCACAGTCAAAAGCTGCAAGTTTCCAAATAGTCTATAAAGGGTCTCCACAAATTAATAAAGTCATTTTCCTTCTTTTTTTTTTACAACGTATCTTAGTCTCTTCAAAGCTAGACAGTTAATCAATTACTTTGTCCACATTCCAATAGAGGGCATGTCCACATCTCTCCACAATAACGTAATTACCATTCTAGCTATTATGAGTCCAAAGTCAATAAGCAGTGACTGTCATTGAGACATAAAAAAGTTATCAGGGTATATTCCCAGTAGACATAATTTAACTTGCAAAGAACTTTCCCTTCTAACTGCAAAACATAAACAACACACTTTTTCAAAATTGGTGAATCATTGAACATTCCCACAATGACTTAGCGTACCCTTTGTTTTTCTTCATTTCACATAAAATGTCTGGTACATTAGGGCATTTGTGATCCAAACTGAAAGGTGTAAGATAGGAGCACATTAACCATTTATATTGTAGCAGATTGAATTTGATGTTAACACCCTCCTGAATATCTTCCTTTATATAATTTCTCCATGCCTCCATAGATGTGAGAAGATTATTTTTACTGTATTGACATTAATTCGTAGAGTTATGAAAAATGTTTTATTCCATCCTTGTGAGTCAGTTCCTTAATTTTAGGAAGTGGAGATACAGACAGCATCTGCCTACGCATGGAAGAATATGTTTCAGTGTTTTCATGGAATATCATATTTCTCACATTATTGATTATATGACATAAAGTTGATTTCTTTATTAAAGTCTGATATTTTTAAACACCTTTGTTAAACCACATCCTGTATCTGCCATTAGCTCTCCTTGGTATAAAACTATTATTGGCCGATATAGGTGTTAACTGTGATGATGCTTTTGTATCCTCGACGTGTGTGTGTGCAGAGTACCACTCTGAAATGATATTCTGAAGAAAGGGATTTTTGTTTAACCAGGTATCAGACGTTTGATGAATATAAATAATGTTTAAGAGGAAGCTATAGTGTCAATGTCATCCAAGCAGGAAAGGAAGCCACTGCAAAGTAAAATATCACTGTCCTTAGCCGGGCACCCCAATATATAATAAAGCTTTAAATTGAAGAGCGGAAGGCCCCTCTCATATGTTAAGTATAATCATAGACATTAATACAGACTCCTCATTGGATGCTACAGGTGTTATGTCGAGAAATGCCTGTTTGTTGAGAATTGCATCCACTGTTGCTGGAGCGCGCACCTCTCTCCCCCCGCATACTGATAAAAAGCAGATTAAAATCTGAATGAAGTGGAAACTTTGAAGCATATTTTTAATGTTGTCGTGTTTCATATCAATAAATACCCTAAAGATTTAGGCTTTAGTTGACAGATTAATTTAAATAAATACGGTTTTGACACTAATCGAGCCACATTTGAGTCAATGATCACTAAGCACCCAAAAAACGCACATATTTTATTACATTTTAATCAGGTTGGTGTATCACTAATCAAAGCATTTGAGCACTCATGTAGTATGTGGTTATGATGCTGCAAATTAAAAGTTTTTTTTTTTTAATAAGTCTAATTTTCCATTTTCTAAGATGAAAAAAAAAATCTAAAGAAATGTCACCAAAAATCAAAAATTTTGTATTTTTAATACAAATTCAAGGTATTACAAAGAGATGGAAATAGTAGATGAATTCTACTCAAATATTACAATGATTCCATCTGCATTGATATTTATACAGGATTAAACTTACTTTCGGTAAAAGTGTAGTTAACTTAAAGGTACAGTGGAGGATTTTCATGAATTTTTGAAGAGACCCGCCCTCTCCACTTAAAAAGCAAAGAAAATAGTACATGCACAACCCTGCACCTGCTCCCAGATGGGAACGCCTATAAAACGTGTGCAAGAACCCTCTTCTCCTCATGCACGCTCTGTTTAAAAGTTGCTGTTTGCATCGCTCATACAAGCTTATTTTCCAAAAGATTTGTAATTTTTTCACTGTCAGACTCACCGCCGGTAAGTGAAAATGGGGATGAGCACGTACGACGGACTTACGTAAACATATCACCAGAATGATTGACAAATAGGAGCACCACTTATTTGGATGATCTACCCAGAAAAAAAAACATCTTCCACTGTACCTTTAAAGCTGAGTCACCCTTAGCATAAGTGTGACAACTTGATAAACAAGTTATAAGTTTGCTGAAGCGTCTTTTTAATAATCGAAGTTGGAAGTAAGTCTATAGATATTGTTTGTTTCATTATCAAATGCTGCAGAAAATGAATCAGTAATACTCAGAATATTTTTAGCATTTGAGGCTGTTTTTTGAGTTGTTTTAGTCTTAGAGTAATGAGATTATTAACAAGTCACTGTTGAATCAGTAACTCCGACTAGCTTAAGAAAGAATGTCACACAGAGCTCTGGATTTTGTTCCTTTCCTGTGCCTCACAAAATGAAATAATCCGATCATCTTTGTCTAATATTAGGATTCTTTGGTGATTTATGTGAAAGCATGATACTAACTTATTTTACACCACATGATGCCTTAACAAAAAATAGCTTTCATACTTTGCTTTTCTGGCTGAATTTTGGCAAACTTAACCAATATCTTAAAAGTCAGTCGACACCCTTAAATCAATATGGGACAAAGCATTTAAATAATGTGCCTTGAAGAGTGCAAAGTGCGGACGACTTTAGAACTAAACTTTCAGGCCGTGAGCAACACAGAGATTCAGATCAACACTTTATTCTTCACAGCATTAGTCTGACTGCAACAGCCTGCTACAAAAGCTCCAAACATGTAAAAGTAACCTAAGGAAAAGCTTCGGTGCCGGTTTCAGTCACACGATTAATAAAGTTAAAAGCCACGCTAAAATTATCAGCAACGATATACAAAAATCAACACATAAAAAAATACAACCGCAAAATATATGTTTTTTGCAAAGTTGTTATAATATGCAATAAAGATCTTTGAAATTGCTTTTAAACAATGACAGCTTGGAGGATCGTTCATGAAATGATGGAACAATTTCACACATTTATAGTATAATGAATAAAACAAACTGCAATCAAATAACTTAGAAAAGCCTTGGGCAGTTTTCTCTCACATTCCTCATATAACATTTCCACAGTGTGTTACATCAATATTAAACCTCCACGTTTTCCTTGTGTGAAAACGAGGGAACAGGTGAGTGCACTCGTCTACATTTTGCTGTGATGGGATTTTATTTTTTTCCTCAACTTTTCATTCATCACATATGTGTCACTAAAAAGCTATAAATTAAATCAGGGCACATCTTAAGCAGTTTATATATATTATAGATAGAATGATCATTTAAAATATACATATAGACCAATCAAAAATCCTCTCGGAGCTCCAAGAGCTTTCTTCTGCAATCGCATCTCTTTGTCGTTTTGAGTTATGGCACAGTGGTCGGTGATGTCAGAGAAGAGGGATGAACTGACTGATCTACAGCAAAGTTATGTTTGGTTATAATTTATTGGTTGAACCGTCGGTGAAAAATAAACTCTAACCCCCTCCCTTCATGAATCCCTTCATTGTCACCCTCTCCACCTCCTTTAAATAGGCTTGGCACAGCAGATTTGAATAATATGGTCCCTGGGAGTCCCCTCAGAGGTAGCTAGTCGTCTGCTACAGCTGTCATTCTGTTTCTAGGTTCTCTGGGGAATGGAAAACAAAGTCAGGATGCCACAGAGTATACAGAAGATGTTCATGACAAGTGAAGTAACCATCTACGCCAAGTATAGCAGCCATCTCACATGTTGGTGTCTCTCCTGTCTTTGTTTGGAGAAGGTTTGGAAGGATCTTTGGGAGCCTTCCCGTTGGTTGGAGCGGGAGCGTCTGCAGCGGCAGCCGCAGTGGAGGCTGAACGTTTCGTCTGTTCCTCGCTGCGGGCCTCCGGGCTGGGCTGGCTGGCAGGAACCTGCTCGGCTGACGGAGGGACGGTTAGTTCCTGCTGCTGCTGCTTGTGGCTCTGCAGCAGGCGGAGCTGGACTCTGAGCTCCAGGATGGCTTCCTGCTCCTCATGGATAGCCTGGTTCAGATGAGTGTTTTTGTTCTGGAGGGAAATGGCAGGAAGTTATGACAGCTAAAACATTCAAATAAATATAAACTCTGAAAAGTGTTGTCTCCCTTTCTTCTAATTTGTCTAATTAAATCCAATTTACAGAAGTCAAATACCTAATTAGAGTGTATCTGATTGAAATTTAAGAAAAAAGGAGAATATTAGTGAACCATCATCAGAAAGCAGCAGAAAGCTGTGGAGGAGTCAGAGTTAATCTATTGTTAGGACTTCATAGAGCAATTACAGGTCTCAGTCACAGGTCATGGTTCTTCAACAAAATAATGACCCAAAACACAGATAAAAACAGCCAAGAATGGCTAAGAAGAAAATATCGGACTATTCTGAAGTGGCCTTCTATGAATTAAGACCTAAATCTTATTGAGCAGAACCAAGTCATTTCTGTATCCATTATGGATTTTTCCTTAACTGAATCCTTGCAACAATTTTTGTGCACGTGTGTAAAATCAGACGGTTAAACCATCCTGAATGTTTCTCACCTCTAGTTCCTCATTTTGTTTCTGTAGGTCTTCCAGTATCATCTGCAGCTCTTCCTCATCCTCGCTCTCACTTTCACTGTCAGAGGAATACTCCTCAGTCTCACTGCGACCCTGCTGCCGACTGATGAGGAAGACAACATTGTTAATACGTTATAATCACAGCTTTGACGCGACTCTCCACCCTCCTCTTACCTCTGGATGTCGGCGATTTCTGCCCGCAGCCTCTCAATTTCTTCCTTTTCAGTGGCGATCTGTCTCCGTAATACCTGTTCAAGAGCGATCAGCTCCTCCTGCTCTGTCAGAATCTCATTCTCCTGATCACCCAAATGAAGTAGTGCAGAATTAAAACACTGAAGTTACTGTTTTATAAGGATTTAATCATGTTATGCTTGAATAAATCACCTGTGCTAAGAGCAGGTTGATGACTTCCTCCTCATTCTCAGTCATTTCCTCTTTGGACACATCTTCCTTGGAGAGACTGGCTATTTCTTGTGCTATCTTAGTCTCACACTCCTAAAACCGAATAAAAGTAAAAAAGACACAAAAGCTGTCAACTTATATTTAAGTTTTTTTATACTGTACATCAGATGTCTAGAGTAAAAGAAGTTATTATTCATCTTTAGTATATTTATAAGTCTGTATGTGAATCCCTTACCAACAGACTTTATACAGGTACAGAATTATCGGTCTCATCGTATTTCAATTCCCTAATAGATCTGTTTAAAACAATTAAATCTGAATCTCTATAAAATGGGTTCTAACTCAGGTAAAAGTCTGTGATGTTTCCTGCTGTTTTATGTAGTACGGGGACATTACCTGCCGTTTGGCCTCCCTCAGCTTTCGTTTGAGAGCAGTCAGGATTCTCTGAACCTCCCAGAGTCGCTCCTCCTTGGACAGGTCCTTCACACCTGCCTGCAGGTCTCTGTGCAGGCAGTTCAACAGGAACTCCTGAACACAGACATGTCCTTTTCAATGCATAACAAACATTAATGAGCTCCAAAGATATGGAGCAGTCAGACATTTACCTTATTTTCCAGACTAAAATTCGCATTTATTTATTTTTTTATAGATTGGCCGGGGGTGCGACTTATACTCTGGGGCAACTGTGTGAAATTATTAACAAAATCATTATGTAATTTCACATGTTAATCTCACACTAAACCCCAAGAGGGCGCTCTAGGCCTATGTTGATAACTAAAACATAGGAGTTAACTTATAAAAAACAACTGAGAAGAGCTAAAAAAAAAAAAAAAAGGCACCAAAAAGAAAATCATATTCTGCAGATTACAAGCTGTAAGAAGAAAAATATGCAGCTGAAAACGGTAATCCAACAGCAGAAAGAAAGTTTGGAGTTAACAGAGTTTTTTACAAGTGACACAGAGGATGAAGCTTTCATTGCATTTAGTAATTTGGAATGACACTGATGGTTTGATAAACTTGTTAGCATGTTATTTATGCTATAGTTGAATATCTTTTAATACGTTATGTTAACATACCAGGCAGATTCTCAGTTCGCTGTTTATGCGCTATGTATTCGGCCTGTTGTTGCCTCTATTCTATTTTTATGTAAAATTGCCTTTCAAGATGACATGTCTCTGCTTTCATCAAATTCTTATTCTGGATATTCTGAGTCTCAGTGCTGTATAGGAGCATTTTACTGTTTTGGGCTTCAGTGTGAACTCAGACCAACTCCATTTCCAAAATCTATAACTTCTGTATTTTCCAAACAAATACTGCATTATCTGACTAGATTGGGAATAATTACGTATTTAAAATATTTATATTTTTTCACATACCAATTTTAAGGACCACAGGTCTAGTTCAACCAGAATTTAGAGTGATCTAAATTCCCAAAGTAGTTAAGGTGGCATTTTAAGATGTTTTGAAATACATGTGTGTTCAGTAAATATATCTAAAACAAACAAAAAAGACATAAGATTATAAACTGGTTAACTAAATTGCTTTTATTCATTTTATAATTCTATCCTCTAGAAAAATAAAATAAAAACTCTGGTAAATCAGCTATTTCTACATATTTGAGTTTCTGTAATGCATATTTTTTTAAACCTTGAAAAATATTCAATTCATATTCCAGTGTGAGCTTAGCATCTATTAAAAATGGCTGGCAAAAACCCTAACCAGCTCTTAATTTGCATTGTTGGATTTCAGTTTGTAGAAGAAAGAAAAGTGCCAAAAAAAGCTTTTACCTACTAATTTTTTATTAGCCTTAAAGATTAGACCCTGGATTCTGAAACTGGGCTAGGTTGCTGACAAGTATGTCTCCAAATAACAGACTTGTGTCATTCGAAGACCTTATGAAAAACTATAAAATGCAAATAAAACAATATCTCTATTGCTTTAGCAAACAAGGCATTATATTACTAATGACATTAAGTTATTGGTTGCCCTGAAATATCTACTGTTTCCACAAAAACTAAAATAGACTATAAGCTCCTTGTATT